ACGTTCACAAAGTTACCTCTTGATAAACAAAATCCAGTTGGTATATGTTTCTCAATAAGACGTGAGCCCAAAGTTATGTCAAAATTTTGACCCAAACTTCCTGGTGCATGATTGGCTTGATTGATGGAGGACCTAGCATTTGGATTTCCTGCCACCTGGCTTGACAAGTCCTGTGATTGAGCTGACAGAAGAGAGAGAGCACAGCTGGAATGTGACACCCCAGATATTTCTTGAATGGTTGACACTGTAGTAGAACCACTGCAGTCATCAGTTTTTGATGTAGGGATCACAGGGCCATATTGTTTCCTGTTGTCATGGACATGGAGAAAAGATTTTTGTAGCGACTGCGCGTTTTGGATAGAAATTCCAAAGGGCATAGTGTAATTTGATTCTTGTTCAAATTTAACATGTTTATACTCATTAGCTTCTCCACACCTTTCTTGGAATGAGATGCCACCAGGAAATATATCAGGCAAAAGAAATGCCGCTCCTTTGGCTACGGAAGTTCCCAAAAATTCAGTACCTGGCAAAACCAGTATTTGCTAAAGGTGATGATCAAATTTCCTAATAAAAATGTTAGAAGTTATCAACCACTGAAGGAACTTTTATCCTACGATCTTGTGCAAGTCTATAGCACACTAAGGGGATTACTCAGAAAATTTAGGCCTAATAAAATTTCGGGAAAACAATCAACAATAGCTAAAGGTGACTTCAGCTTCCAAATTACTTAACCTCTATCCAAAAGCTTAAATGAAGCAGTTAAAAGTAACTTCTACCCTCAAATTCTTTGTATTACAGGACTGCACCTTATAAAACTTTGTAGTAAACTCCAGAAAATTCAATTTGTCCATCACAGAGTATTGTCATATTTCCCCACTGATAATCAATTAAATTCCTAATATAACTGCTACATTTATTGGCATTACAAATTATTCAACTGGCGACAAAGGACAAGTTTAATATTTGAGCGAATATCCCGATATCCATGTTATGTACAACGCTCAGAAGATCTAGCTTCTGTTCTATACATCAGTGCTTGACATTAGTCATATTGTTTCGCAGCAGACTTATTGACAACATTCTCAACAACTTAAAAAGGACAATGATAGAATCATAAAAGTGCTAGACAAAAAATAAAGGGGTGGCTGATTTTAACATTGCCTTATTCTTTTTGTGGAATTTAGAACAAGGACGATTCCTGAAATTGGAAGTTTTTTCTTCATATTTACTCACATCAAAAGGGAAAAAATTGTGTGATAATGCACATGACTATAGTTTCAGAAATGAGATCAAAGTTATCTTGCTCTAATGATTTTATAACACCCATAACAACACTCATTGTGCAGACTAGCCTAAAGTTAATTGAAAGCTCCAGGGAAAGATTAATCTATTAATATGTTATCCCTAAAGTGTCTTTTATCTATTGAGCCGCTGCTTTTCCACCCAACAGCAGTTGATCGCTAAGGTCTAACTAGTGTTGCACTTAACAGGTCGGTCTCACAGTTGAGTTCATTGGTTAACTTACATATGATATATAATTTCTCTGAAGTCTTGACATCTTGCGATCCTACAAAAGGTTACCCCAGAGGGATTTTTAAACCCCTTTACCCTTTTCTTTTTTTCTCTCAAAACAAAATTTGTATTCTAACTAATCTTTCAAAAGAGTTTTGTATCGTCACTATTAGACAGCAACACAAGACTATAGAATTTATAGTGCCCATATGAGCATAATTTGATAGGTTCTACATGTCAACAACAGCAATTATCTGATTTAACTTCCAGACAAGGTAAATCATAACTTAAAAGTAAGTCTGGCACACGTCCTTAAAATGACCCGGAATTTTCCAAACCTACTTAAAACTTTAGTTGCTAGACCTGAAACTTAAGAAGCGAGATCCTAACCTTGCAGAGGGCAAACACAGGATTATTGGCACGTGCTATTATTAACTGGCCTACCAGTATCAGTTTGCAATAAACTATTTCAATAATGCATGAAACCTCTAAAATTGTTCAGCAGAACCACTAAACTCTCATACCATGATATGACTGCAGTTGCTTATGCAGTTTACCAGAAAGTGTATGAAACTGAGGCTTCCTTCTGCGCTCGTTATGACCTGCAAGGCGCTTACGGCAACTTCGCTTACCATCATCAAATTCAGCCAGCAAATGGAACCTGAGTAACCAGAAGACAGTAACATTTAATAAAACAAGTGAGAACCACAAATAGGTTAAGGGAAGGGCACATTCCTTTAAGAGAAAAAAAAAGGCCAAGTCAAAGGCACAAAATGATACTTATAGCATCTAGGCTATTATTGGAAAAAATCAAGAATTATTGTTTGATTTGAACATTTATAGATATATCAACTTATTAACTAGGGGTGTGTGAAGATCTCACTAGAATAATAAAAATTCAGTTCATATGGAGTTGCAAGTGAAATTGAGAAAACAAATTTCGATTTCCATAGACTTTGATGGACTTGAGAATGTATTTTACTAGTTCCCTTGAAAATTTTATATGAGCTCAATTTTACAATCTTCTGATTAGAATTTGCATCCCTCCTAGTTAAACTATTGTGCCGAAATGAATCCAATAAACATTGTTGATCTGTTACAAATATAGCTTTGTATAAATATGTGATCAAATCAGAAACTGGAAAGTCATGAGGCATGCCAGAAACTTGGAATACAACCTTTTTATAAGTAAAACCAGCCAAATACGAAAAATGGAGTTCAAACATTACCCATATTATATGACTCTACACAATCAACACCAAAAGGCCAGTCAACCTTTTCATCACTTGCATGTTCTGCTTCATTTGAAGCAGAATCTGTTTGCATTAAGGTAGATCTGATATTTGATAGGAAATTATAGAAACTTAACAAAGAGTTCCTATCAAAACCTAAATTCAAGCAACAAATGCCTTAGAGAAATTGAAGCAAAAAGTAGAACCTACCTGCTGCACTGCTGACAAAACCTCTGCTCGATGCCATTAACAATAACTTTGGCAGTCTTTGAGTGAACCTCACAAACTTTATGCCGCTTGTGGTAATCCTTCGAGGAGCTGAGATCCATGTTACAGCCATAGACTTGGCATAATGGGATCTGTGAGCATGAACTCGTTGTGCGTGCTCTTTTAGCTGGAAAAGATGGACGAACAGAAGAAGCAGCCGACCTCTCTTTTGAAACTTTACCATTCTGTGAGTTACTAGACTCATTAAGTCTCCCAAGCTTCAAATCAATTAGTGGTGAATCCTGACTGTAAGATTTCATGAGCGAACTAGAAATTTTTGAACCAGATTCATCCTCCCCAAATGATAAAGTTGAGTTAATCACACAAGCAGAGGTGACCCGTCTACTACAGTCACTATTAACTTCACCACTAAGCATCCCAGCATTTGAGCTATCAAATGGTCTTCTTGTCATATCAGGAAAACCTACATCGTAAATTTCCATGCTTTCACCAGCTTCCCTATCTGAAACAATTCTATTGTCATCAAAATTACAAGAGGGTCTAAGATCCCATCCCATGACTGATTTTTTACTTCTCACAAAAGCATCAACAGGTATGTCCATTTCCTCAGAAAAAATAAGGCCCTTCCCGTCAGATAAATAGCTCCAAGACTCCATTTGCATAACAGAATTGAAGTTGCAGAAGGTGTCGTTACTACCTATCAAGACTAGAACGAAGCAGACTTTAATCATATTTAACAACTTGCAGCCAAAAGCCAATTCATTTTTTCACTAATTCACAAAAGCCAATTCATATTTAACCCATTCATCATTTTTTATAAAATGCGCACGAGGTTACCAGCAAGCAGAGGGAAAACAAGTAAGAATTAGCAATATGTATCAGCAAATATGCAATAAAACAGAAACAAAACCAAATGATAATGCAAAAAGTAGTTGGTAGTACTCCATCTCAATCTAAAAATAGAACCACAAAATTGAAGGACTTAGTAGCCGGAAAAAAAAAAACAGATAAAAACTCACGTCTGTACTTCAAATATAATCAGAAAAATAATAGCATTATTATTTCTGGGCAAACCAAATCTAAGTTCTGTTTGGCTGCCGAAAAACATGGATGGGAAGAGAGAAGAAAGGAACAACTAAATTCCCATCTTTCCATTTTGTGGACAAGCCACGGAAATCAACTTAAGGAAGCTCCTTGCAATATATCAACCGAGTAAATCCTGGGTCTTCGATTCTTCCTCGGTTTTTCTTTTTTTAATTAAAGAAAAAACTAAATAAGCAATGGAAATGAACACATAAAACTTCTTCTCCATTCACTTTATTTTCTTAATTTCCTCACAGTAAAACAGAAAACAAGCAAAAATATTCAAAACCCACAGAAATATAGAAAGACAGAATCGTATTAGCTACTAATAAACAATCCAAAACCACCCAGATCAAAGGATCATAAGAGTTTCCTCTCAACATTACCAACACTTAAACCACGCTTAATAGATTAAAAAAAATGAAAGAGACATTTCAAGATGAAAAAAAAAAAAACAAAAAGAAAACAAACAAACCAAACATAAAATAACCCATTTGAAGAATTCACATAGACACACGTTTGTTTGCTGAAAAACCGCAAGGCAGGGATTGGTTTTGCGCCTTGATTCCGGGTTTTCTCCCCTTTTCCCACAGTTTCTCGGGAACCAAACAACATATACAGCAAAAAGAAAATGACAAAAACAAAAAGAAAAAATGGGTATGGTCAAGCTTACCAGAGAGAGAGAAGGAGGGAACTGAAAGAGAAAGAGAAAAAGATAAAGATAAAGAGAAAGAGAGTAAAAATAAATTTCAGGTATGTGGGAAGGTCGAAGCAGATACACTGTGAGTCAACATGATTTCCACTACTACTACTACTACCCTGTCCCCAAAGCATGTGCCCAGGCCTTTTTGTAGCTTTTGAGAGGCCGTGTAATTCCTCTTTTGTACACCATTCTTTCTCTTTTGGTTGATTAAACTGTTAATCACTATTTTAATTTAAGGTAATCCCTTTGGAACAATACTGCAATCTGCAGAAATGTTTTGTTTTTTTAAGGCTTTAAAAAGTCTTTTTTTATTTTTATTTTTTACCAAAAACAAACGTCGGTAAGGTTTATAACCATTGTTGTTCCTCAAATTGAGAAGACCCATTTCCCATAAATTTTTTTTTTACTTAGAAATATAATATATTAATTAAAATTTTATTCAATTTAATTCTGAAATTCTATTCATATATTAATAATTTAATTTTTCAATTCTATTAAAATAAATATTATATATTTATTATTATCGATATATATATTTACAGTTAAATTTTAATTAATAAATTAATATTTTTTAAAAAATTAATTAAAAAAAAGCTATGGCATGGCAAATGCCAAATGTCGGCTAGTGGAACGAAGGGATTTTTGGCCCAAAATTTCTTTTCTTGACTAAGCAGCCAGGCTTTGCCATTTTTGCGTTATTTCTTTTTCTCCCTTTTCCACACATACGACTTATACATTCATGTATGTAGTATGTAAGAAATTTCTATTATAACAAATATGATTTGATTTTATAAATATTAACGTCAAACATGTGCATATTTTTAGTGTGTGTATATATATATATATATATTTTAATCCGTAATAATAAGAAAAAAGTAATTGTTAATTTTCAAATGCATGTTGATTAGACCGGTACAATATATACATATAGAGAAATATCTCAAAGCATACTCATATTAATTTTAAAATGACCATCTAATATATTTTTATATTTGAAGAAAAAATTTCATAATTATTCTAATTACTTCTCGACTTAAAAAAAAAGAATGATTTATAGAAAAGTTTTAAAAAAATTCAACAATCACAAAAGTGGTAAATAATTTAGTTATATATATAAACATAGTTGATCTACACACACCATGTGTGTTTTGTGTGTGTGTGTGTGTATTTTTTGCACAATGATTTCTCCACCAATACATTGCAAGCTCTTGAATATATAAGCATGTATGAAATTTATGAGATAAA